AGCCCTAGTAAGAAATAATTGAAGAGTATTTTCATCCAATGAAGGACTGAAAGTGCTAAAAGTAAGAATAAAAGATGAAATAATAAACAACAACCTGAACTAAAGTAATAAAAAAGGCATTAATAATTTCTTTAAATTCTTAATATTTAATCTGCTTCCTGTGTTGAAATATATTTTCATCATCATCTTAAGAATTACATGATTAATGATTTTTTTAAAAATATATTTATTTATGTTTTGCTTTGAATATTTTCATTTTTCTTAACTTATTTCTCTTTGTTTGCTTATGTTTAGTCATGCTTTTTTTTTTTTTTTGCATATTATCAAAATGATAATATGCAAATTCAAATTTATTGAATTGCATTGTGGCTCAACCTTTTACCTATTAGTTGATCGATGCAAAGATAAACAGAAATGGCTGACTGGAGTCAGGTCCTTAGAGAACAAAGCCTCCAAGCTGCTAATGATGCTTTCAGTCAGGACAAATTTCAATCTGTTAATAATTACATAAAAAATGCAATAAAAATAGACTCCTTGGGTGTTCCACTGTTAGTTCTCAGCCTGTTTTCCAAGCAAAATAATAAATGTAATTAATGTAATTAAAGGAAAATAATTGATTAATGGTTTTTTTTACTTGGCCTTTTTTCAAACCTAATTCAATCCTTTATGAATGAAAATCTTAAGGTCGTATTACGTGAAAAGAGGACGCTAAAGCAGTAAGGAGTCACTGTTCATCACATTACGTCAAACACTGCCAAATAATTTCGTCGATGTCATCAAACATGCAGAAAAGCTCGTGCTTCAACAATTAAAACACAAGCCTCTCTCTGTCTGCATCTACAACCAAGGCAACAGTTGTTAAGAGCCTCCCTCCCCGAGGTCTTTGTTGCTAGGAAGCAAATGGGACCATTGCTATATCGGTGTTCAACTCTGAGTTTGACGTGAGCCCTGAGAGACAGAAATCGGTTGTGCATTTGTGGAAAATTCATTGTAGGATCACGGAAGACAGTCGCTGGGTTTGGAGTGCAAGTTATAGAAGAGACAGATGAAGACATCTTCATTGTGTGCACGTGTCATGTTTAATTGGAAACTTTGCTTCTTTCTGTTTAAAACGTGTGATTGCTTAACACTTCAATGATTTAGGATCTTTTTGAGTTGCATTTTTTGCACCTGCTGTTGCTTTATGTTTGTGTCACAGTATATATTTAAATCATGTCAATGATTTCTGCGCGATTTCAGATTTAATACTCTAAATGCTGCTTTGCATTATTACTCTTAATGTTTTCTATCAGCTCTTACTTAGTGTTTTAGGGAATGATTTACTACGATACTGCTTCCTGTAAAACAGCAAATAAACGATAAAGTGATGAGGCTAATTGTTTCTTTCCCCTCTCATTAATAAACCTCTGTGCTG